AGAGAAAGCAGGAAAGATCTAAAATCAACACCATAACATCACAATTAAAATAACTAGAGAAGCAAGAGCAAGCACATTCAAAAGCCAGCAGAAGGCAAGAAATAACTAAGATCAGAGCAGAACTGAAGGAGATAGAGACACAAAAAACCCTTCAAAAAATCAATGATTCCAGGAGCTGGTTTTTTGAAAAGATCAACAAAATAGACTGCTAGCAAGACTAATAAAGAAGAAAAGAGAGAAGAATCAAATAGATACAATAAAAAATGATAAAGGGGATATCACCACCAATCCCACAGAAATACAAACTACCATCAGAGAATACTGTAAACACCTCCATGCAAATAAACTAGAAAATCTAGAAGAAACGGAAAAATTCCTGGACACATACACCCTCCCAAGACCAAACCAGGAAGAAGTTGAATCCCTGAAGGGGTCAATAACAGGCTCTGAAATTGAGGCAATAATTAATAGCCTACCAACCAAAAAAAGTCCAGGACCAGACGGATTCACAGTCAAATTCTACCAGAGGTACAAATAGGAACTGGTTCCATTCCTTCTGAAACTATTCCAATCAATAGAAAAAGAGGGAATCCTCCCTAACTCATTTTATGAGGCCAGCATCATCCTGATACCAAAGCCTGGCAGAGATACAATAAAAAAAGAGAATTTTAGACCCATATCCCTGATGAACATCAATGCAAAAATCCTCAGTAAAATACTGGCAAACCGAATCCAGCAGCACATCAAAAAAGCTTATCCACCACAATCACATCAGCTTCATCCCTGGGATGCAAGGCTGGTTCAACATATGCAAATCAATAAACATAATCCATCATATAAACAGAACCAAAGACAAAAACCACATGATTCTCTTAATAGATGCAGAAAAGGCCTTTGACAAAATTCAGCAGCCCTTCATGCTAAAAACTCTCAATAAACTAGATATTGATGGGACGTATCTCAAAATAATAAAAGCTATTTATGACAAACCTACAGCCAACATCATACTGAATGGGCAAAAACTGGAAACATTCCCTTTGAAAACTGGCATAAGGCAGGGATGCCCTCTCTCACCACTCCTATTCAACATAGTATTGGAAGTTCTGGCCAGGGCAATCAGGCAAAGGAAAGAAATAAGGTGTATTCAGATAGGAAGAGAGGAAGTCAAATTATCTCTGTTTGCAGACAACATGATTATATATTTAGAAAATCCCATCATCTCAGCCCCAAATCTCCATAAGCTGATAAGCAACTTTGCCAAAGTCTCAGGATACAAAATCAATGTGAAAAAATCACAAGCATTCCTATACAACAATAACAGACAGAGAGCCAAATTATCAGTGAACTCCCATTCACAATTGCTACTAAGAGATAAAATACCTAGGAATAAAACTTACAAGGGATGTGCAGGAACTCTTCAAGGAGAACTACAAACCACTGCTCAAGGAAATAAGAGAGGACACAAACAAATGGAAAAACATTCCATGCTCATGAATTGGAAGAATCAATATCATGAAAATGGCCATACTGTCCAAAGTAATTTATAGATTCAATGCTATACCCATCAAGCTACCAATGACTTTCTTCACAGAATTGGAAAAAACTACTTTAAACTTCATATGGAACCACAAAAGAGCCCACATAACCAAGACAATCCTGGGCAAGAAGAACAAAACTGGAGGCATCAGGCTACCTGACTTCAAACTATACTGCAAGGCTATAGTAACCAAAACAGCATGGTACTGGTACCAAAACAGAGATATACACCAATGGAACAGAACAAAGGCTTCAGAAATAACATCACATATCTACAACCATCTGCTCTTTGACAAACCTTACACAAACAAGCAATGGGGAAAAGATTCCCTATTTAATAAATGTTGTTGGGAAAATTGGCTAGCCATATGCAGAAAACTGAAACTGGACTCCTTCCTTACAGCTTATACAAAAATCAACTCAAGATGAATCAAAGACTCCCTCCTAAAAATCCTAGAAGAAATCCTGGGTGATACCATTCAGGACATAGGTATTGGGCAAAGACTTCATGACTAAAACACCAAAAGCAATCACAACAAAAGCCAAAATTGACAAATGGGATCTAATTAAACTAAAGAGCTTCTTCACAACAAAAGAAGCTCTCATCAGAGTGAACAGGCAACTTACAGAATGAGAGAAAATTTTTGCAATCTATCCATCTGACAAAGGGCTAATATCCAGAATCTACAAAGAACTTAAACAAATTTACAAGACAAAAAAACAACGCCATCAAAAAGTGGGCAAAGGATATGAACAGACACTTCTCAAAAGAAGACATTTATGCAGCCAACAGACACATGAAAGAAAGTTCATCATCACTGGTCATTAGGGAAATGCAAATCAAAACCACGAGATACCATCTCATGCCAATTAGAATGGCAACCATTAAAAAGTCAGGAAACAACAGATCCTGGAGAGGATGTGGAGAAATAGGAATGCTTTTACACTGTTGGTGGGAGTGTAAAGTAGTTCAGCCATTGTGGAAGACAGTGTGGCAATTCCTCAAGGTTCTAGACCCAGCAATCTCATATTGGGTATATACCCAAAGGATTATAAATCATTCCACTATAAAGACACATGCACACATATGTTTATTATGGCACCATTCACAATAGCAAAGACCTGGAACCAACCCAGTGTCCATCAATGATAGACTGGATAAAGAAAGTGTGGCACATATACACCATGGAATACTATGCAGCCATAAAAAAGGATAAGTTCATGTCCTTTGCAGGGACACGTAAGAAGCTGGAAACCATCATTCTTAGCAAACTATCACAAAAACAGAAAACCAAACACCACTATGTTCTCACTCATAAGCAGTAGTTGAACAATGAGGATACATGGACATAGGGAGGGGAACATCACACACCAGGTCTGTCGGGGGATGGGGAGGTTGGAGAGGGATAGCACTAGGAGAAATACCTCATGTAGTTGATGGATTAACAGGTGTAGTAAACCACTATGGCATGTGTATACCTATGTAACAAAACTGCACGTTCTGCCCATGCACCCCAGAACTTAAAGATAATTTTTTAAAAAATAGAAAAAAAAGAAACACAGAACAATCACAATTAATAGGAAATATGAAGTTTGAAGACTTCGAAGTTATAAAATTGATGATCAAGATAAAAGTCTATTAGGTGTGATGGAAAATTTTAATGACAAACTTATAAGACAAACTGGTTAAAAAGGGGCAGAAACAGAGTTGACCAACAGACTGAGCCATAGCTGTTTCTGTGTTTCCTTATCTTGGCTCTGGCTTTCTGACACTCCCCAAAACAAGGTAAATGATTTATGACTGCTAAACAGACTAACCCAGGCTCAGAAATAATCAGTATTATTTGTAAATGATGATCACATATGTGCTCATGCATCCAGAGTTGTAGTTGACATTTTATGAAATGACACAAAAGATTCTGTGTATCTTCAATTTTCCAGATTTAATTAGTGTCTTTTCAGAACAGAGGACTGTAACAGTGGAGAGATATCAGGAAGGTCATTCCCCTTGCCCTTGGGGAGCTTTAAGCATGTACAGTTAGGAGGAATCATTTATATCCATGCACAATTAAATAGGTCTGTTGCAGAGCAACCTGTGAACAAATGCGGGTCAAAATACCAGTATGTGTATCCATGTTGAAGTGATGCTGATAAAAAAGAATAAAAAGAATCAGGTGGAAGGCTTCCAAAACAGTGTCAGTAAAAATGATGAACTTCATTTCATGGGGAGGAAAGGGTAAAATATTCTAGCATATGCAAAGTTATGGAAGTAGAAGCAAATACTTCATCACAGTGTACCTCATCACAGTGGAAGAGTACATTTATTATTATAATAATAATATAAATTATATTATATATAATATATTATATATACTTAGTATTAAATATTATTATAAAATATTATTATTATAAATGTTATTAGTATTCCTATTTGAGAATGGGAGATGGCTGAACATGTAAATTAACCTGCCCCAAGTCATATAGTGAGTTACCTGTGCAGCTAAAATAAGTGATATTTTAGGAACAGTTTACATCATGAAACACTGAAGCTGTATATTTTTTCAATAAATGATGGTACTCTAGGTAGTTCTTAGACAACGATTAGTAGAAACTAAACTATATTTTTAAAGGGTTTACTTAAAAATATTGCAAAAGATAGGGCAAAGAGCTTTCTTATTCCCCTAGTGTAGAAAACCAGGGCATTTTTTTAAAGGACGAAGAATCATTAACAGTATTTCCTGAAGGAGAATAAAGTCTTCCAGCCTGCATCAGAATTCCACGTTACTATCCGAATTCTAAGATTAAGGGTGTGTTTTACCCACAGCCTAGATTTTTGGGAACACAGGCTTGGCATTATGTAAGTTCCGCTGAGGAGGATAATGTGACTCTTCTTGTTATGGGAGAGACCTCATTCTGATCACTTATATTTGTTTTTATCTATCTATATAGGATTTTAGATATATATATATTTCTTGTTTAAGTGTACTTTATCCTTTAGCAAAACTCACACTTCTTCAGATTAGCACACATCTATCTATCTCTACTGTCAGCTCCTGTAAATGGTAGCATTTACCCAAGACAGAAAAATCTCTTGGAATAACCAGTATACTTGTTTCAATAATCTGCAGAGCCATCAATGAGAATGCTTCAGAATAGAAGAGCAGCTGGTTTCAAATACTATTTCATTTTCCTCCCAGCCCACTACTAGAGCCTAGTACACTACTGTATAGTGTGGGCCTTTGTGGAGGCTTCTATTTCCCACCTGTATTTCTTTTTCTTTTTCCAGCAACAGCCTGCCTTTGTGCCAACTCCTAAATAACCATAAATTTTGTTCTTATAAACCTTAATGAATGCTTGGCCAAGATGCTGTAACTATTGGCTTCTATATTGGAGCATAAATGGAAAGGGGGGAAAAAAGTGCACTGTGAAAAACTGGATAAAATGGAAAAAAGATCACAGCAAACCCAAAGTCGCAATTTGCCTTTAATGTGAAGGAGGCCTTGTTTTCACGGTGTGGCAGCTTTCAGGGGTTTTAATCTCAAAGTGGCTGATCAATTTAAGGTAAGTGGCAGGCATTTGGCCTGGTTCCCAGGCTTTGCTTTGCTGCTCTGAGAAAAGAAAGGATTCAGTCAGACACACAGACAACAGGCATCATCAGCGGCTCCCACATTCCAAGCATTTTAACACAGATTAGGTTGGCATGATTCTACTGTTTACTGAAATCTCCTAGGTGTTGCATTTTTCCTTTTCCTTGCTGTGGTTATCCAAGATGGTTTTCTTAGGTCAAGACCTTCATATGCCAAATAGCTTACAGTGCTGTGAAGGGAAAAGAAGAGCAGAGGTCAAGACTTCTGATTAAAATGCTATTTCACTTGCTTGCTGCAAAATATGAGACTTCAGACAGCAGGTAATTGAGCACTGAACTTTTTGCCTAAGGCATACATTGAGACAGGAACTGTTTTACATGCATGCCTGAGGGGGAAGAAAAACGAAGATAATTTCTTTAACAAGGACAAACTTAATTCAACTAGGAATGCCCAAAGGATTAACAGGGTGATCTGTAGTTATTTTTGCTACAGAATGTATAAGCATGAGGCTTACAGATAATGTTGAACAAGATTATAACCAATATAGTCCATTTTTCAATTAATATTTTTCACCATATACTCTTTACTTTTTCAAAGAGTAATATTAAATGAGTTCAACAGACCCCTTACTACCGTCTCATGTTCTTAGCAAAAGTTAATTTTTTAATCCATTTGACCTATAACATAGGTTAAATAAAATATGCATTCCATCGATTAAGCCAAAAAACAAATAAATTGTCTCTCATATATTTTGGCTATATCATACTGTATAGAAAATTTGTATTTTAAAATACATTTTCACAGTTTTTAAAGATACATTGCCTTACTTTAATATAATCAAGAACACCTTTCCATTAGTCATCTTCATGGCAGATCTCCTCATGTTTTATTTCTCTCTAAGAATTTTATCAAAATAAGAAACTACTATAGATTTTTAAAAATAGTTTTTCTAGCTATTATACTTTTCAAAAGCAATGTTGAATTATTATACTTACTATACCTAGAAATGCCTTCCTAACATTTCACACATTTACATTGACTTATTTCTTCCAAAACTAACACATTGTTGCACTTGAGTAACTTATATTAAGAATAAGTATTCTTGTTTGTAAGGGTTAGCTTAGAAACTAATGCAATTTTAACCAGTTATCTTAACTTTAGTTGTTATATATGCAAGTGTGGCTTTTAAAAAATAATATATAACTTTTCACTGATTAAAGAAAAAAAAATAGAGTCAGAAAAGAAGCAGCTAGCAACCATCCTTCTGCTGTTGCCGCGTATGTCTTATCACCATGTGATACTTGTCAACATGTGATACTTGGAACTGCAGCAGCCGTCTTGCAAACATGGAGAGAGCCAGCTTAAGGGGCCTAGCTGAAGTGCTGAGGATGGCAGACAAGAAAGATGGAAAAAATATGATTTTCAATTATGTCATTGAGCCATTGAACCAACAATCCTGGGTCCACTCAACTTGAGATTTCTTCTTGTGTAAGATAATAGATTCCCTTTCATTCATGCAATCATATTCGTTGAGCATCTACCATGTCCCAGACCCTATGCTAGGGGTCTGAAGTAGCTCAGTGAACAAAACACAAGATCCCTACCCTTGTGGAACTCACATTCTAGCCAAGAGAGATAATAAACTAAAAACATAAATAAGAAAATTCTATAGTATGTTAGGAAATAGTAAGCAGAAAAAAATTCATAAGAGGAACATGGCAAAAAGGATCAGGAATGTTGGGATCAAAAGGACAGGTTTTGATGTTGAATAAAGTGAGAATTGGTTGGCTTCACTGAAGAAGTGAGATTTGAACAAACACTTGAAGGAAATGAAGGACTTATTTCTTAAGCCAGTAGGAGATAGGTTGTATTTTTCTCATTGTTGACAATCTTCTAAGTGAGAGGGAGATATGGGAAGAGAGAGAGAGAGAAAGAGAGAGATTTGGGATAGTGTCTGATTCCAGCTCCTCTTTGATTCTTCTTAGTTCCAGTCAACCAAATGATTTTTTTCCTTTGCTTGAGTTTCAGCTGGGTTTCTGTCACTTAGAGAAGATTAGTAAGTTTTCTGTTGGTCACAAATAAACTATCTCTGATTCCAGGAACAGCAAGCCCAAATAGATACTGAGCCATAATTCCATTCTCTATATAAAGAGCTTTATTGCCCACACTGGGGGGTATCCAGGCATCCATAAAAGCATGGCCTGTGAGGTTTTCAGCTTCCCAAGTGGAGTGGGAAGATGCTCAGGACTGGGGTGGAGCTAAAAAGAGAAGCTCTGTTTTGGGACTGGTAGTAAAAATTGATAGTCATATTCTAAAAGGGTAAGTCTGCAGGAAGAAAGATAAAATAAATAACAGAGAAAAAGAGGTGAACAACTAAAAAAGGTATACTGTACCTAGGAGATAGAAACAGAGAACACTAGCTAGAAGCAACATCTCCCATTTATTACAGAGATATTGATGCATTTATTCTACTATGTTTGCTATGGGCAAAGTTCTAAGATATGCTATTCACATATACACAAAGGTCATAATATATTGTCATTTTGTCACTGGCTCTTCAATGCAGAAAGATGATGTTTGTTTATCTGAGTTGCTTACGTACCCTCATGTAGCACCTAAATATCCTAAAAATAGGAATTCGGCAAAACAAAGCATGGAATATACTTATGCTTCCAATTTTCAATTTCTAGCTAAAAGACAATGCCAGCTCTATATCACAGTTTATGTTGGGCAATCTTTCTGTGCATCTGTTTCCTTGTTTGTAAAACGGGTTCAATGAGAATACCTACCTCATAAGACTCTCACAAGGTTATTGTGATTAAATGACATAATGCATGTAACCACAGTGCTATGATTTGGTCACTGTTCCATAAAAATTGGCCATATACCTTTACTATATCTATTTGTATTTGGTTCTTTTTGGGAGGCATACTACACAAGTTTATTTCAAAACATTGCTGTCAGATAAGAGATTTGTGGATTCTGTGTGATTATGGATATTAACTAGAGAATCTTTGTGTGTTGTTATATATTTGGGAGCGTCTTCGTCCATTCAGACTGTTGTAAAAAATACCTTAGACTTTGTGCTCAAAAATATCAATAAATAAATTGCAATGCAGTGAGAGATTTTTTTTAATATGATGACAGTGCACAATTTCAATAGGGTCAGAGAAAACTGGATGCTCATATTGGACGCTGACTTAAGACTTACAAATAATAGGCATTTATTTCTCACAGTCCCAGAGGTTGGGAAGTCCAAGATCAAGGCACCAGCAGATTCAGTGTCCGGTGAGGAATCTTTGCTTTATAGATGACACCTTATTGCTTCATCTTCACATGGCAGTAGGGCCAAGGCAGCTCCCTTCAACCTCTTTTATAAGAGGTACTAATCCCATTCATGAAGACAGAGCCCTCATAACTTTATTCACAAAAGACTCCCACTTCTTAATACTATCACACTGGTGCTAGGTTCCAACGTATGAATTTAAGGGAGATGCCAACATTCAGACCATAACAGGGAGGATGGGACAGTGTGTGTGTGTGTGTGCGCGTGCATGTATATATATGCATGCTAGTGCATATTCACTTCTTGACTTCTCATGGTATTATTATGTTCTCAATTATCTTGCTTCCCTCCTCATCTTTCTTCCATGTCCAATTTGTCATTGACTCCAAGACAGGTAGTTGACGTATATTTAAAAATCAAAGCTGGCCTTGGAATGAGAACCCCACATTAAATCTGTTATTAGTTCTGTGACACTAAGCAAATCACTTAGTCTCTCAGAGCCTCAGTTTGTCACCTCCAAATCAATGAGAAAACCACACAGGCTCCTAGCATGACACCTAACCCATGGTAGGTACTCAAGATACTTTATTGAGCCTGCATCTTTTTTCATGATGTCTCTGAAATCTATGTCTTTCTTTTGTTCCCTTTGCCACCCTGGAGCAGGCCTTCATCCCCTTTCATCCAAGGCTCAGCCTCCAATCTGAGCATCTAGTTTTCTCTGACCCAATTGAAGTCATGCACTGTCATCAGATTAAAAAATAATCTCTCACTGCATAGCAATTAATTTGTTGGTATTTTTGGAGCAAACCACCAAAAATATCAAACTCTGATATTTTCCTTTCATACTTTTAGGTACATATGTTGTCAATATTGCCATTCTCTAGGCCTAAGAAGACCCTTACTTGCTCAACTATTCCTAAATATTCTTTGTTAACTCACTTTCTCTGTGCTGTGTGACAACTCTCTCTTCTGAAGACTATATACTACTCTAAGCCCTGAAAATACTAAGATAAAAAAGTCCGAAAAATCTTGGCTCTACCACTCACCTGCAATAATATTAATAAAAACCACTATGTATTGTGCCCTTACATGGAAATATGCTAAGATTTTATATGTGTTATCTCATATAATCCTCACAACAATCCTATAAAGTATTCTTATTATTATCTTAAGAGAAAACTGTAGCTTGGGAATATTAAATCCATTTCCCATTATATAGATAAAAAGTGGTAGAGCACTTTGAATCCAGATCAAAGCCTAAACTCTTAAGCTCTCAGCTACTCTGCCTGTGTTATATTCTTGGAGCAATAATATAAATGACTGTACCATCAGATTGATTACAAAAGAGTTAACTACAACTTGCAAGTGGCATTAACTACTTACAACTACTTACAAATTACCTACTTATACATTCCTCAGAAATTTTTGCAACTCATTGTATATATCTTAGTCAATGTCTCCTAGCTTCAACTATAAAATATCAATGATATCACTTAGTTTATAGAATTGATAGCATATTACTTGAATTAGTGCCTTAATGTAGTTAAATGGCTAGTATAACTTCTCATATAGACACCCAACATATATTAGTTCCCTTCATGTCCTACGCTCCTTCTAATCAATTTAAATATTTGCTGCAACATTTGGATTTTCATTTAATGCTCTCCATGGATAAACTCCCCATTGTCATTGATTGAAAAGCTAAAAGAACAGAGCAGGTCTTGTGAAAAAAATATTAGAAGTGCTCATTCTACAGCTGACTCAAGTGAGGCTTGATGGTTTTCATCAAGTAACTGAAGGATTTTAGTAACTGAAGTCACTGATCATTTGTTCTCCGTGTACTCAAAAGAGTGAAAAAGAAGAACAAAATAAGATAAATGTAATTCTAGAGATACTTCGATGAGACACTAAGAAGATTTTATTGATGCCAAAAAAGAAAAAAA